TGTGGCGGCAGGGCGATGAGCGCTCGTGCCCGGAGCTCGGCCTGTGGTGGGAAGGGTCCGTCAGCTCCACGACGGGGCAAACGGCTGCTCCTCCCTCCTGATGCTTTCCCTTTGCCCAAAAATGCAAGAAGTGCCTCCCTTAAACGATCCGGACAATCGATATATGCAATAGCGAGGTGTTGATTCTGATCTGACAGGGCTGCTCTCCAGGTGAACTGGAGATGTTCATCGCTTCCTCGGTGCCTTACCCGTCAGAGGAAGGGACGGTGCTTTTCCATACCCTTGACCGCCTCTGCTGGGAGAGGGAACGTGGGGAATGTTCTCCCCGTTTGAAGATAACATGGTGACTTGTCCAAAACCCCCCCGCAAGCAGGGAGAAGAGCCCGGGATTCCCCATCACCAGTCCCCAGTAAGCCCGTTTCTTTCCTCAGCTTTGGGAATTCTGTCAGTGAGGCGTTTGTCACTGTCACCTCCCCGTGAAAGCTGCAGTTTTCAGCACTAAGAATTGCTCTTTATATGCAGTGGGTAAGGAAATCTCCCCAAATCCCTTCACCTTGTTAAAAGGCTCATGTTTACTATTGAATATTGCACCGAATACGTATTGTGAAGCAGAGGGCGCGAGCCTGCATAACCACACTGCAGAATCCATCCCAAAATTCGTTAGAGGGGGCGTGTGCCTTCTCCACAAGCTTTCTGCGTGATTCGGAGGATGTCCGTGAGATCCCAAACCAGCAGCATCCATACCAAGGCCCTCTTCTCCGATGCTTTACTTGCCTGCAACATTCTTCACATATTTTCCCACTATTTTTTAGCAATAGCTTGTATGCTTTGCCTTTTCACGTCGAATCGCTCTTGTGAAACAGCTGGTTTATCATCACTTCAGACTCGATAAAAGCACGCGTTCAGTTTTCTGCTGTGAAGTGCCGGTATTTTCACAGTTGTAATGTAGCACTTTAAAAGCGTAAGCAGCAGGTGAACCTGCAGGAGGGAACTGTGTCCCTGCATGTGTTTTTTTTAAAAAAAAAAAAGCCTTTTACTAACTAGAATAAAATCATTTCCACTTCACGCTCTACTTGTGAGGTTGCCGTGTATGTTTGTGTGATGAGGGGAATGGAGCTCAGCTTTTGAAGCCTCTCTGGAGCAAGGAAAGTTTTCATGGAGAAGCTGGCTGGAGAATTAAATCACCTAACTTACCTGCTGAGGGAGCGGAGGCTGCAAAGAAGGATCCGCACAGCCCTCCTCTGCCTTTTTTTGGGAGGGTTGCTGCAGCTCACGCTCCGTGCTTTTCCCATTTGAGAAGGCCGTTTGTACAACTTTTGCCATATGCCATTTCAAGCCACTCCGTCCGTGGGAGCTGGACCGTTTCCCTTGCTGTGGAGCTGTGTTTGGATTTCTTGGAGAACCCTTGCCTGCATATCGAGGAGTGCTGCTGGAAATTTGGCTTCCTCGCCTCTTCCTCCTCCTCGGCCTGCCTTTGGGCAGCCAGTTCTGGTACGACCCTTGCTTTCATCTTTGGGGTTGTGTGTTGGGCTTGTCGGGGTGACACCTCCTGTTCCAGCATCCCAGAGGCCAGAGGTGACCCCTGGAGTTTGGGGGTAGGTTGAGATGGTGCCCAGAACCACCCAATCTGCAGTCCTCCGGTGAACAGGGAAGGTTAAACCCCTCTCTGTTGCTCACAGCAACGTCTGGATCTGTGCCGGGGTCTTGAGGAGCGGGAGGTTCATGAAGCCGTTGCCAGAGGGAATGCTTTGAGGGGCACTGCTGGCAGTGCCGCAGCGAGACTGAGGCAATCAGTCCGCATCGGGAAGAGGCGGTGTCGCGGATGGAGCAAGAGTGCACTCGTACGAGAGAAGTGGCAATATGTTTATTGGTAACAAAGTTTGATAGCAAATGCGACAGTGGTTTCACAAGATTCGATGGCAAGGTACACTTGGTTATTTACTGCATAGGGGACGGGGTCAGGGAGACCCTCCCGTTGAGTGATGAGGTTCAGAGAGGACCCCCTTGCTTTCTAAACTCCTTCTCAGAGGAGTCTGGGTGCAGCTGGATCCAATCCTAGTCCCAGACTTGGTCAACGGTTTATGTCTAAAGGATTATATATGCGCAATCAATCCTTTATATTACTTAGCTAAGATTTCAAAGTTTCAGTGCACTTGTTCCCAATTCACTGACCGAGGATCTGTTGCGGCAAGGCATCTCTCACCCTCGAGGAGCAACCCTGAGAGGCGTCCCTGCTCACGGGGAGATCCCGGCGTGCAGCCCGCTGCCGTGCGGGAGAGCTCAAAGGGCTCTTGGGCTGCTCACTATTTATGGGGGTAAGATGATTGACTTGTAGTCATATTTGCATGTGCAGATGCCAGTTTCTTCCAAATCTGGCTTGAGTCGGGCACGGACCAGCGCTGTGGTCAGGCAGGCACGTGACCATAAATTAGTCCTTGGGTGCTGTGCTGTTATTTGTCCCCAAATCCACCTTGAGCCGGCTGCAGCCATCAAGAGCAGGTGCACCCATGGTGGGCACCGCTGGTCGTTAGCTCTTGATAGAGTTAGGGGAGAAGGTCAGGTCGGGGGGCAGGGGGAGCACACCACCACAGGTGGACAGGATTTGGGGACAGTTTCCAGACTCGTTTCGGAGCAAGCACAGGTCTAGAGGATGCCCGCGACACCGGGTCATAGGAAGCCCCGACGGCGGGTTCAGGATGAGCACGGGCAGGGCGGTTCTCCACGCAGCGTATAGCCGAGCTGCGGAAGTCGTCTCCTCCGGAAGCTGTGGTTGCCAAAGAGGAACTGGACAAGTTCTCAGAAGAGAAATGCACTGAAAGCTTTTAAGCAGAGGTCTGAGTTGCAAACTGTTGCAAGCTAGGAGAGCGTTTGGTAGAAACGGGGCCATGCGCAGCCGTGGCTGAGCGGTGGCAGGCTGGGAGGGAAGGAGCTGGCTGTAACCAGGTGGATGCCATCAGCAGATGTGTGCTGAGGCAGACGGTACGCACCCAGCCCAGCACACTGCTCACGCTTCTTCCTCCACGGTTCAGACTGGTTGAATCGGATCCTGGGATCCCACGCAGAAAAGGGAGCT